AGAAATAAACTGAATTGAAATTGAATTAAATTAGTTTTCAATATTGCGTAATAATTGTTATACTTTCCACCCAGATGCAACAAGAACTTCAACTGTTTTTCCAAAAGTTGACAACAGCTAAATCAGGCTAATATTTTTAGACTACTATTTTTTGCATGGGAGCTTGGTGACTGCAGGTTCCTGTTACTCCTGGAGTCCACATTAAACCCTCAGGCAATCCATCATGTCAGGCTATCAGCCAAAAAGGATTAAGCAGGTGATAGAAGTGCTTAACGAGAACAGGGTTCCTGCAGGAATACACAGCACTTTCACACATTCTCTGCTGTTCCTCGCTTGCTCTGTAGCATCTCTGCATAGCAGCAGCAAGCATAAATAATTCCACATGGTAAAACCCTGAGGTCATTTATTACATATATAATGTTTTCAAAGTTTTAAAAGTGCCAATAAAAGTTCTCGGTTTCTCCTGGTGAAGGAAGATGTCTTCTTTGGCAGCTAATGGAGACATGGTCAGATGATGACACATATTATTAGACCACTCTGTTAATTTTCTCTCTCTATATATATAGAAAAAAAACTCTCGTATATAATTCAGCCGTTCAGTAACTGTAAGATTTAGTCAGACCAACATTAATCAGGTAGCTGTCATGGCCAGAGGCACCAGAGCTACCAGAATCAACTGACTGTAATATCATCAATAAAGTCTCAGTAAAGTGGATTCAAGATATAAAACCAGACTGAATCTTTTATAAAATCAGTAGGTTTGATGTGATTAACTATGTGGTCTGAAAAGTGAATCATCAGAGGTAAAAGAAGACACAACTCATCAAAAAGTAATATGTGCAGGGCCGCCCAAAGCCTCCATGGGGCCCTGGGCAAAATGTTTTTTTTTTTTTTGGTCTTTTATATTTGCAGTAAAAGTTGGATTTGGTTTATACTTTTTGGTTTCAACTGCAACAGAAATATGCAAAAACAAAATAACATGAACAATAATAATAAATAAAACTGCTCCAGAAATAAGGGCAAAGAAGATGGAAAGAAGTTATCTAAAACCAGGTAGAAAATAAATAGAAATTTAAAGTTTATAATTAGGTCTTTAAATTATGTAGTTGTATACAAAATGTTATTTGAAAACATTGACTTGAAAGTTTATCAAAAGTAATAGTTTACCTGGAAGACTACTTCTCAGCAGAAAGTGTCGTTTCTGTTGGGTTATTCTGTTTCTACCACTAGAGGGCGACAAAACTCTTTCCACTGCTGGAAGGAGAGATGGTACAAAAATAGTCACGTCTTGAAAACAAAACCAGACCAAAATACACATCTTTTTATGAATGCTGAAAAAAAGTGAAACTTTAATGTTTACTGTGGAGAAAAAAATATTACAGAAACATAAAACAAAATATGTAGCAGGATAAATGTTCTTGAACTTCTGGTTAAGAGGTAAAATTGGCTTTTATTTATTCAGCATAATGTAGAATGTTCCCTTCGTCTTCCTGGTTCTGTTGTGTTTTTCCACAGGCGGCCATCTTTAACCTTCTGACTAACTTTCCTTTTTTTAAGCCTTCCAGTATTTTAAAGGGTCTATGATTCCATCAGTAAATTCCAGAAAACAGACCCACAGCACCACAGAACCTCCACCATACCGAACATAGGGTGAGTAGCCTCTCCGAATAGACTAAAAATGCTCCTTTTTTTTTTTTTTAGTTTATTCTTTCATTTTACAAAAAGTTTTTTTTTGTCTCTGAAGATTTTTTTCCTAATCTTCATCAGAGAAGCCAAAGCTGAGATTTACTGCTGGATTCAAACTGAATTAAAAGTCTTTCTTTTTCTCCAGTATTTCCGTTTTTTTGTTTTCATCAGCTTTTTTCTTTCAGCTCCACCTCCATCACTCTTTATTGGACCCAAATGTGACCCCAGAATATTTTCGCAGGTCATGTTACTCCATAAATTGCACCCAGATGTAAATTTCTGATATACCTGCCAGTTTTTTAAACGGTAACATTTCACTTCAACATTTGAACCCAGCTCTAAAACTTGTTGTTCCTGGTTTAAATTCTCCTCATGGCCCTGAAGGTATCGAGTTCAGACGCTCTAAACATGCAGCGTGAGTTTCTCCCCATTGTCCTGCTGCAGCCCCCGCCCTGCTCTCTCCAACCCAGACCGCATGCTCTTGGCAGCCAGTCGCTTCATAGTTTTCTTCAAGGGGGCCGGGACTATTCAACTGCCTGACTCGCATGTGGAAAATTTTTTTACTTCCTATTCGGAGTGAAGACATAACTGCTGCAGGCGGCCTATAAGGAAGCAGGGCAGCGTCTGCAGCCACAGAGCAGAGGGAATTCCACCTGGGAACGTGAAGGTTTTGGAGAGAGGAGCAGCTCAGGAGGAGCATGTGAGTTCAGAGCCTCAGAGGAGTTGGGGAGGAATGTTCTCTACTGAGGGAGGCTCGGTTTGTACGATCCGGGCTTCATCCAAGCCGCTGACGAGTCTTATCTCCTGCCAGAGGGATTATATTCCACAATGTCTCTGTCTGACATGTTCCTTGTGGTTTTATGATGAGTTTTATTCTGCAGGAGCTTCTCGTTCAACTAAAGGTTGCAGAGATGTTGGGGTCTTCAGTCAAAATGAAATGCTTGCTCCCTTTGATCCAGTGGAAGCCTCAGTGGTTCTTTTCTGTTCTCTCGTTTATTTTAAAGTAATCAAACCTCTTTAGGCGTTCTGTCGTGGATCTGCTGCTGTGTTTGGGATTATTCATCCGCTGAAACGCTTTCAGTACTCTCAATAACTGCAAGGGACCCAGGTCCTATGGCTACGAAACAGAGCCCGCATCACCAGCCCTCCACCACCCTGCTTAGAGGTTCATTTTAGCTCCTTGTGCTCATAAAGGATGCTTAGTGAGTTAAGTTGGTTGGTTCTGACCCCAAAAACAGCAACGTTTTCTGGGGAAGCGGTGGACCTCGGAGGACGAGACCAGAGCTCTTCCCTCTGAGAGAGTTTGACAAGTCTGTCGCTTGCTTCTCCACCAGAAAAAAATAAGACTAAAGGTGCTGTAGGATATCTTGGGGAAAAAAACGGTTCCAGCGAGTTATATTTTTGAACATACACATCCATGCCTCTCCCTTCAGACCACCCCTCAAAACCACGGCTTCAAAACACATGAACGCGTACGCTGTCTGCAGCGCGTCTAGAGTAGCTGGAGCAGCACTGCTGATGCAGAACGCTATGATCGCTCCTCTGAAACAGTTTATTAACGACTAAATTAACTTAAAATGCATGAAATCTGCTGGCAAAACATGTTCTTTTATTATCCTGGTGCCTGCAGTTTGGATTACGTACATGAAAAACTACCTTCCAGCCGCCGCGGCAAACTGCGAGGAAACGACCAGTGTGTACGGGGGTCTGAACGGCTCAGATGGCGAAATTACATTGGAAGTCAGGATGGTAATCTGGATGAACTGACGGCACAGACCATGTTGTCAGGAGGACTTTCTCACTTAAAAACATTAAAACTACTTTTTACCAACTGATCACAGCAAATATATCTGTCATTATTCCAGGCAAAGAAAGGATAGGGTAGCTCCGCCCAACGCACATCAGACCCACTTTACCACCGTGCAGCTAAATGTTAAAATGAGGAGGATTTTTCCCCTTGGAAAAAGGCATTTGCGCCCCGGGGGCCTCCTCACCGGTTCTTTACCTGGGAGCAAGTTATTTACTACTCTTAATTCAAACTGGGTAAAACTATATAAAAAGGACTATAAAACAGGAGTAAAAAATATCAGAGTTTATTCCAGATCAGGTCATAACAGGACAGAGAAAATGCTTGGAGCTTGCATAGCTGTGGTCTCAAAAATCACGTCCGGCAAAAATTGAGCCCCGAACAAGATCGTCTCCTGCTTCTTATAGCTCATGGGTCTATGTGTTGCATCATGTTGATGTTTAGCTGTCCGTATCAGAAACTGAAACGCCATCCATGTCTTGAACTTCATGCAGCAGGGTTACAGATAGCTCTCCTCTATCAGACCGGCTCCAAGATGTGCCCATATCCTGTGTATTTTTAAAGACACGAAGGCTGTCCTGATTAGATGACCTCCGTACACACAGTGATGTCCACAAAGGCCTTCTGCTCTGTCTGATCTGGCTAACAAAATAACAATGCACATGATGTATAAATGATAAACCTAACATAAAGCAGCATCAAAAATAAAGCAGCACGCGCGTTTTTGCTGCTTCAGGTGTGAACGTAGCGTAACGGCGGCTAGCTTCCAGCTATGGCGTCCTGCACGAGCATTGAGAGTCGATTCATTCATGTGTCAGGGTACGCGCACAGGGGGGATGGACAAGCAGATGACCATGACTGACGTGTCAGGAACCAATCGTGTACAACGGACCGTCTTTTGTGATTGGTGGACGTTACTCATTGATCTCACAGCGGGGACCATTTATATTAGTTTTACTTCCAGACCTTCTATTTCGCTGCTTGCTAAGCGCCCGTGGGGAGACCTTTATTCCACATGGTAAATAACGCGTCAGAAAAGATCTCCTACTGCACCTATAATAGTTGTATATATATAAAATATATATATACATTTTTGAAAAAACTTCATTCTTAGCCTCAAAGGCCTCCTAAAACAGCATCATCTGAGTGGTTGATCTTTTTTTATTTTTTTTATTTGGGTTTTACAGGTTTAAAGCCGGCTATACACTGTACGATTTTTTTGTCTATTTCAGGCCGATTCTCCCGTTGTGCAAGAATTTTTCAATCAGGCCGAGTTTCAGTCTCATGGTGCGTCGTGTATTACACAGGAGGGTAACGAGGGGCGATCAGCTTCTCACGACCGCCTCCCCATCAGGAATCGTAAGGTCGGGAGAAGATCAAACACGGTTGAAATTCAGTCGGCCGTCGTGAGGTGGTCGTCGGCATATCCTGCTTTGAAGCAGAACTACGAGCCGATGTACCAGAACATCGCATGTGCAAACAAGGGAGTTCTTCTTCTTCTACCAGATTGACGAGTCCGACCAGCGCCATCTCCTGGTGGCTCAGTCTGACGCATGGTTTTTGGATGTTCAATGCGAGCAGGTAGCTCGCATCAAAGCGTCAGGTCGCACAGTGTGAGAACATGTCATGAAACGCGGACAGATGGACCCAGTATTCAAGGAGAGACAGTCAGTAGGAAAGTCCAAAAAGGTTTATTAATTAACAAAAACT